TGAATTCTTCTTCTTCTTCTTCAGCATTTCAGCCCTTGAGGCTCTTTGCTGCAGATATCACCTGCCTCCATTTATCTCTCTGGTTGACCTTCTCTTTCCAGTTGGTGACACCAAGTGTTTACAGGTCTGTCTGGATATTATCTCTCCATAGTCTTCTTGGTCTGCCTTGTGGTCTACAACCATTCATCTTCCTATTGTGTACAGTTTTTACTTCTCTGTCATCTGACATTCGCTCAGTATGCCCCAACCATTTCAGTCTGTTTGCTGTCATGGTGCCAGTCATCAGTGGTGATTTAAAAGGATTATGAATTTTGTTGTTAAAATCCAAGCCTGATAGAATTCAAAGTCAGCTGCAGGTAAGCAGGTAATTTGGCAGCAGTCTGCTTTAGGTTGATTTTGACAACAGTGTGAGCATTTTACTATTCAGGAGCAGTGGCAAATTTCTGAACATAAAATTGCCTTAAAGAACAATGCAACAGCTACAAAATGCTGAATCTGGTTTGCAAAGTCCTGAAGAGTTACTTTTCAGTTTCATTTTCTCTGTATGGGTTCCAGAGCCCCATTTTGGGTAAAATAAATGGACCCACTGTGCCCCCCCCTCCCCCCTCTTTTTACAAGCATGTCATAACAGTCAACTAATTAGAGGAGTTTCCATTGAAATCAAAGTGCATCTGCCTGTGTGGTGAGGAACCAACAGTCTGCCTACAAATAAGCCTGATCTGTAAAAAATAAACATGAATGCAAAATTCATTTTCTAAAATAAGACTGACCCCAAAAGTAGATGAACACCCATAACTTTCCACCAGAGTTTACTGCTGGTGGACGCTAAGGAGAATATTTCATATAATTAAATAAAGAGTGAAGACTTTTTAATTTTAAGTTGCATGTTTTTGCTTTGGTACCAGATCATCATGACACATGTATTTTACACAACATGGCACCCAACACAGCACGCCTGAAAGAAACTCAGCCCCTCTCCAAATCTCTCCCCTCGTTTATTTTCCTGCCCAAGATGTCTCTTATGTCCTGTGTCCACATTCGTGGTGTTTGGCGTCTGCCTCTCTTTCCCAGTACCATGCCCAACACTACTGTTCTTTCCAAGAAATATTATTTTTTTTAACTAAATAGGTCACATATTATTCAAGTTTGACTTCAGATGAGAACACACTTGTTCACGGTGGATAGAATAAATGAAAAAAAGATTGAAAGTTTGAAGAGAAATTATAACAAGTTTTTGAATTATAGTTAATTCAAATGGAAGGATAGAGGACATAATTGAGTACTGTATATGTCCCAGTTTCTAATACTTCAAAGAAATAAATGGACACATTCTAAGGTGATTGTGCACTAAATTATTAATACCTCTGTTATATTAGATGACTTGAACATAAACACTGAAGACCAAACAAAAAAAACCGATTGTGAAGATACAAATAGAAAAGCTCATACTGACTTTGAAAATATAATGATAGGGATATTAGATTCAGCAGGTATAATCAGTATACTCATGGTTCAAATTACAACCATTTGAATTTGAAGAAGTCCCTGAAGAGATATTCATAGCCACGTGTGGTACAACTTGATTTAGATTACCATCAGTCTGAATCAGAATGAAGCAATTATAATTACATTTTCCTGGAGAATACGAGTGAAACTTTATAGAATTAAGGAAAACAAAAAACAAAATTAGGATTTGAATGGTTTGAACAATGGATGAACATCATGGCATAAGGGTTGTAACCCATAAGTGCTCCATTCTACTTTTAACTCAAGCCTGAGTCTGAAGAAACAAACACTGTACCACGTACCACCGGCAAGGATCCTAAACTACTTTGGGTAGTTTTTTAACTCCTAATTTTGCACGGACAGTGCTGTTAGGCTACTCTTTTCAACTTCCAGCTGCCAAGGGATTTTTCACATGTGCAACAATACACAATTAAGATTACAATAGCTAAACAGTTTATAAAGATGAAAGAAAAATACAGTACATTGTTACAGAATGTGCACAGTGCTTTGGGGAAAATATGAGAGATTAGATAAAAATGAGAAATGGCAAGGAAATTAATAATGCAGACATTTAAAGTGATAATTGCATCAGTGAAAAACACAGTAGAAATTATGTGGATGCAAAAGAGATACTACTTTCACATAGGAAATACTACTTCCACATAGGAAATGCTAATTTTACAGAAGAAATACTACTTCAGTACAACTTTATGGAGCATGACACAACTGTTATATGGTTAATATGCTACTGTCAGTCCCTAGAGACCTAGAGTTGTGCTGTAGTTTTTGGGAACGCTGTCTGCTATGACTGTAAAGTCAAAGGCAGGAGTGGCAGGTGTTGCCAGATTGACTACACAAAAATGTGGACACTCCTTCATACTGAGGCTGGTTTTCTCTCAGATGTTTCCTCTCTGTAGCTTGTTGCCTTTGACCTCTTGCAAATGGGAAATGAGCAGGCAGATAGACTGGCTGGCTCTGCAGCACATTTGATTTGAACTGATAATATAAATAATCTATCTGTGCCTCCGCAGTGTTCACTCGCTTCCAAAGGAACAACACAATATCTAGGTTGTCATACATCAATTCATCACCAAGTGGTAAAGAGCTGGCCAATCTATCTTCCTCCAACACACCAAAATGACCTGGAGAAAATATCTAAAGGATGCAACTACCTAGGATCTCTGAAATGGTGCTTGCCACTATGCACGGAGCATGCCTGTCTCCACCTTTCTCAACAAGCTCAGTGAGTCAGTTACAATCACAGCATGTGTTTACAGCTGATTCTCAAGCCAGCGGAAGACTGTAGTGACTGCCTCCACCTCCATTCTCAAACTAGATGTTGTAATGTCATATGCAAGGCTTTGTTACACTAAGGGATGTCCATTCACTTTTGCTGTGAACCCCCATGCACTTTGTTTGCCTTTCAACACAGAGCCATCTGTAGTGTTTCAATAAATTTATACTGCATCAACCTGACATTATTAAAATATTGTTTCAGAGAGTACACTGACACAGTGTTTGAATACTTCAGTATGACATTCAATGTGGCTTTGTGGTTCACTAAACATGCAGCCAAACTGGCAGCCAAGGATAAGTAAGTTGTACTTTTACTGTTTTGTTTCATAAAGTGGTTGTTGACTATTTTGTTTTACAAAGTGGTTGTTTTACAAGAAATCTGCTTTTATGAAGTACTAATTAATAATGTCTTATTATTAAACATGTTGTTGAATGATTAAAATGTGTGATCATCATCAGTGAATCTTCTCATGTGTGGTTGTTAGCAGTGCAGTGATAATATATCTTAGTGAATCTTCTCATTTGTGGTTGTTGGCATTGCAGTGATAATATATCTTAGTGAATCTTCTCATGTGTGGTTGTTAGCATTGCAGTGATAATATATCTTAGTGAATCTTCTCATTTGTGGTTGTTAGCATTGCAGTGATAATATATCTTAGTGAATCTTCTCATTTGTGGTTGTTAGCATTGCAGTGATAATATATCTTAGTGAATCTTCTCATTTGTGGTTGTTAGCATTGCAGTGATAATATATCTTAGTGAATCTTCTCATTTGTGGTTGTTAGCATTGCAGTGATCATGCAAGAGGGCAGTTTTAACATATCATTGACTGTTTCCGTCCAAAAGGTGATAACTGAATTGCAAACAGGGTAATAAATAACTGTCACTACTGCTTGTGTTGACCACTTTCAGGGCGGTGTAGACAGGGGGTTGTAAGCCTGAGGTTTTAGGGTCATGTGGCTAGTGCTGTCACCATGGCCTGTGAAGGTTAGGATGTTTAATTTTGCCCCCAACAGAAAAACTCCCATCACTTTACCGGGGGTCGAGCCCGGGTCTCCTGCATGAGAGCCCAACTTAACATCTCAGCCAGCTGCTCCTCCATAACGTAATAACAAGTACAAAAGTGAAGGGCATATAGGGCTAGACCTATATTTGTATAGACCAATCGGCACAAGATGAGTCATGTTGTCAGCATCACGCCGGCCAAATTTACTTCCCGGAACTGCACTCATTACCCACTCAAGGCTGGGTAGACCTGGGACTAAAGCCATTTTTTAAAATAGTCCTGCTCCGCCAGGGAGCAAACCCACACCTTCTAATCCGCGACTAGCGTCTAGCTGCTTGGCCATGACGACTCCCCGGTAAGGTAATAATTACAACAAAATCAAGGCTATTCTACATCCACAGGAACTAAATACACAATCCATGTAGGAGTCCTATGTGTGTTTGGGTATTTTATTTTGTCCTGACCAAACATAAAGTGTACGAGCAATGTCATATTTTGACGGGTGCATCTGAATAAACCCAGTCACACGTGATGTGTTGTTTGTCGCTGAAAGAGTTAACCAGTTCATATAACAAATTTTCAGTATTTACACAATTTTACTTCTGCTGAAGGAGATCAAGCACTTATTAGCTTGTCTCAGGTGCATGAATTCAATTCTTTATCATAAATCTATTAGTCCATGGTATTCTTTGTAGTATCCTTAGAAGCCAAATTTTTGCTGTCTTTGAATTTCACCTGGAGTTGTTTGGTATGTCCTGATAATCCTCAGCCAACTTTAACAAAGTAGAGGGTGAAGTGTGCATGATATATAATGTTAACAGTTTGTTGACATATGTTGACTATAAAAGTAAAGGACCTTTTCCATGCCTTCAGGTGTATAGGGCATATGGGGCTAGACCTATATTTTATAGGCCAATCAGCACTAAGTCGGTGATGTAGTCAGTATCACGCCGGCCACCTTTACTTCCCAGCACTGCACCTGGTGCCCACTCAAAGCTGGGTCAGCCTGAGAGCCAATGTCATTTAAGAAAAAAAAAACTCGTTCACTCCAAAAAAAAGTAGGGCCTAAAAATTCGGGAGGGGGGTGGTTTTAATTTTTTTTTTCATGTACCTCAAAACTAGCTCATAAACAGCATAATGTCTTGGAAACTGATGAAGTAATTTTGGTTACATGAAATATTCACAGTAGTTTAGAAAGAACAGATAAATCAAGGAGTAAGGCAGGGATGTGTCTTATCCCCAGACCTTTCCTGTCTGTATAGTGAAGTAATTTTGAGGGAAATTAAAGGGAAAGCAGGAATAAGAGTTGGAGGATACAATATAAACAATTTGCCTTAGGCAGAAAATACAGTTTTGATAACTGAAAACTAGGGCTGAATACGAATAGCTAGACCAACTATTCGGCTGAATAAGAATAAGAATACAAATAGTGAATCATCATCATCCAAGGTATTTTAAGCATTGTTCTATAAAACGACATCTCTGAGGTCTCAATAAATTGTTTGGCCTGCCTACCGATTGTCCATGACTCACAGCCGTATGTTAAAACTGGATGTATGTAGCAAGCAAGAATTCTTTTTCTAACCTTCAATGACAAAGATATATTGCATAAGATGTTCTTCATTTGATAAAATGCAGTTTTTTCTGTCCTATTCTGGTTCTTATTTCAGTAATGCATCTTCCATCTGATGTTATCCATGTACCCAGATACTTACATTTCTGTACTTGTCCCAAAATAAAACCATTGATTTTAATTACACATTTAGGAATAATTATTTTCTTTGATACCACCATTACTTCTGTCTTCCCATTATTCAAACTGAAGCCCATGCTTCCACTTTCGAATAGTGTATAAAATAGATCTAAAAAAAAAAAAACATCCATAATGTCAAATGTACGCTGTAATTTTACTTCACAAAATGTAGTACAGAATAGGAAACATTTAAAAACATTTCATGTTTTGCATCATTCAGTCAGTCAGTCTGTGGTAACTAATACCTAGGAATGAAAGTATTCTTAGTTTTATAACAATTAACTAATATGAGAATCAACACGAAAAAGACAGAAGTAATGTCAATAGGAAAAAAAAAGACAGATCTAAACATAGCAATAGAGTGCAAAGGCATTAAACAGGCATCTGAGTTTAAATATCTGGGAACTACATTTACCGAAGATGGGAAATTGGATAAAGAAATTAACATTAGATGCAGTAAAGCAAACCAAGTATTGGGACAGCTAACCCCCTCTTACAGCATAAGACAATCCCAATCAGCACAAAGAGACATCTTATTCAAAGCATATTTATTCCAACTCTGTGCTACCAGTGCCAGCCATGGTCACTCACAACAAACCATAAAAGAAAATTGGTAACCATGGAGATGAGATGTCTGAGAAGGGCTGTAGGAGTGACCATCAGAGATAAGATCAGGAATGAGATCATAAGAGAAAAAGTCGGCACAGAACCATACCATACAAAGCATACATGGAAAGAGAAGAAGGACGTAGAGCACGAGGTAGACCAAGAACAAGATGGAAGGATAACATCAGAGAAACTCTACAACAGCACGATGTGCCTATGGTCAAGGCGGCCAGAAGAGCTAGAAACAGAACCTTATATCTCCCTCGACAGCCACAGCGGTAGAAGAGGAAGTGAAGAAGAAGAAGAAAAACTAAACTTGTAAATTGTCACTGAAAGCTTAGTTAATCCATGAAAGCAGCATTAGCTTTCAAAACAAAAACAAAAATCATTCCAAGTTGTCAGCATTAAGGCAGCTTCTTATCTCACTGAAGGTATTTCCTGCTGTACTAAACAGACGTTCACTTGGTGCGCTTTTAGGTGGTGCACAAAGATAACGCTTGACAGTATGAACCAAGGTGGGAAATCTTGATATGTTCATTTTCCACTAGTCCAGAAAGGAGTGTAAGGTAACCACTATTCGTATTTGGTCCCGAAGCGAATACAAAGCGAATATTCGGTACAGCCTTACTGAAAACGTAACTGATTTACAACTGCTGGATATTGTGGGGATTGGAGAGTGCTAAGAAAATACTTTCCTTGAATATTATGAAAATAGAAGTAATGGTTATATCAAAGAAGAAGATAAGACCACATTGTGATATATCATTTGAAGGAAAAAGACTTAACCAAGTCAGTAAATTCTGGTAACAATCATATCATCAGATAGAAAATGTGTGCAGAATAGGTCAAACATGGGCAGCATTTCAGAAAATGAAAAATGTCTTATGCAATAAGTCGCTCATTGAATGTCAGGAAGTAGTGTTAAAATGTTATAAAGAACCTGTTCTGTTGCATGGCAGCGAATCTTCGAATGTCAGTGAACAAATAAAGAAGAATTTAGAAGCAACAGAGATGTGGTTTCTGAAATGAATGTTAGGAATATTTTGGACGGCCAGAGTAGCTAACAAAAATTGTTTTAAAGAAGCTAATGAAAGTAGATCTCTTTATACAGACATATCAGTGGGAGACAAACACATTTCTGGCCACTACGGGCCTCTCCCACTATCAGACATAGCTTAGTGGCACTAACTCAAACATTCTGTGACTACTGGCCTCTCCACTATCAGACAAAGCTTAGTGTAGGGCTAACTCAATCATTTCTTCTGGACTACGGTGCCTCTCCACTATGAGACATAGCTTAGTGTAGCTGTTCCAGGCCAACTCAATTGTGATTTCTGGACACTATGAGCCACCTCTCCACTATCAGACAGGGCTGATGATGATGAGTTTATAAAGAACAGTAATGGGGAAAGTGTGGTACCTGAAAGTTGAGGCAGGGGGAAACCAGTGTGATGGTGGACACAGGGCTGTAATAATACCCAGTTATGAACATTTGTGAGTCCGGGCAACTGGTGAAAAATAAAGGCTTTTTCCCAGGCATTGATGAAGCCACACTGTACAGAAAAACATGAAACTTGATTATCATTATGATGATCTACAAATAATTAGCCGCATGCATGGTTGCTGGTTGAGGGTTGACTCCATCATGTTTTAGAATTTTCTTTGACCTGTCACAGGTTTAACAGGTGTGAAACCCCAGCAGCCTTTCAGCTTACATGATGCAGAGAGGGACTGGAGTTCTAAAACTAATGTGTGATAGGAATAATATTAGTAAAACAGAAGCTAGCCTGTACAAGAATACTTAATTTATGTGTTCCACTTTTTTAAAAGTGCTCTAACAAATAAACAAATTATTTATGGCTTAACCTGTTGTTAAGTGCTATGTGTACTTAATTATTCTTTGGGGCAAAAACATAAACAGTTCAGGGCCTCTTCTGGACACTTCTGCATCTCCACTAGTTAACGATCATTTCTGGACACTACGGGCCTCTCCACTATCAGACATAGCTTAGTGTTGGGCTAACTCAATCATTTCTGGACACTACGGGCCTCTCCACTATCAGACATAGCTTAGTGTAGGGCTAACTCAATCATTTCTGGACACTACGGGCCTCTCCACTATCAGACATAGCTTAGTGTAGGACTAACTCAATCATTTCTGGACACTACGGGCCTCTCCACTATCAGACATAGCTTAGTGTAGGACTAACTCAATCATTTCTGGACACTACGGGCCTCTCCACTATCAGGCAGGCTTTAATAGATCACATGTTTTCTGCAGTATGGGACCTGTCATATTTCTACTCACTACTTGGTCTGTTCTTCATGTTTCTTCTTAGCCTTTGGAGTCTGCAATGTAACTTTACTGTTGAACAGGGCTTATGAAGATGTGTACATAAAGGTTCTCACCCTTGAGGTGTTAATCCTGCGAGCTGCAACCCTGGAGGGGACAAATTGCAGAACACACTAACCTAACTAGCCATATCCTGAAACAGTTATGTGTATTGACCAAAAAAAGCGAAGGATAGAACGACTTAACATGAGCTGGTTGAGGGCCTATGCTCCATTAGAGGTTAAAAAGGCAGAAGAAGAAGACTAATGAATGAGGCCAATATTAAAGCACTGCTATAAATAGAAACATGCCACAGAAAAATGTGGAAGAAAAGAAAAATCACTGTATTCACTGCATTCATTTAAAAATCTCTAGTATTTTACAAATAATAAAACTTTGGAAACAGTTAGGCTGTATTGTTTGTCATGCCTTTTATACAATGTTCATCAACAGGATGAAGTGAGGGCAAAGCTCTTGGACACACCATCTGAAGGTGCTCATGACACAGACAGTCGAGTTATTGATGCCTACATCCACCAGTGTACGGCAGAGGCTCAGGAAAGTATGTGTATTTATAACTTATCATCCTCAACCACAGTTTATTCCATTGATTGTTGTTAAAGAGTTTGCAAGAAGTCAGTATTAATTTTAATATTTTCTTTCTGTGATGAATACAGTATTATTGGTTTTCAAAGAGTGACCATAAATGTAAATTTTGTCATTACTAAAAAACAGCATTTTTTGAAGCAACACTGTTTGAACTTTGCATTTTCCATGAGTGGTTTCTGGGGCCCTGATTTTCATGGAAAAATAAAAGAATAGGCTCACTGCCCCTCCCCCCAACAAGCATGCCATACAAGGTGATTAATTAGGGGTTGCTGAAATTGGATGCATTGAGCAGAAAAGTGCGCCTTGCTGTAAACCAAAACACAGTGTGCCAGCCGCCACACACACACCCCCTCTGCATTAATAAATATATTCTTTTCTGGCCCTTCTAAACAACTGCGCAGGTGTAAACTGTATAATGCTGATTTATGGGCATAACAGGGACTGGACAAAGCTATAAAAGCCGAGATATCAGCTGCTCTCAGATTAGTAACTGATAGCAGAGTGTAAATATCGGCTGTTTGGGTCTTGGGCCAAAAATGTTTATTATAAATAGGAATTATGAGCAAGATAAAGATAAAAGTAAATTTCTAGATATCTCGACCACATAATATAATCAGTACGTTAGCATACGCCTGGTCTGAGGCTCTGATGAAAAGATCTAGACATAGCTTTTCACCCTTGACCTCCGAAGCAAAGCATGCCACTCTACACGAATCATGCCTGTCTTCACCTTTCTCAGCATGCTTTCTCAGTCAGTTACAGTCATGATGTGTGTATGTGTATAATTTTCTCTGGCCAGCAGAAAGCTGCAGTGATCGCCTTCACCTCCATTCTTAATGTTGTGGTATCTTATGTTAGGCTCTCCTGCACCAAACGTCGACCATTAGCTTTTGCTAATGACATGTGCTAACCCAGACACCTCTTTATTAGCCTCTTGACACTGAACTATCAGTATAAATAATCACATCACCAGAGCTAACATTATCCTGAATTAATTGCAGAATTGTTACCTTTGTGGCACCTGCTTTGCCACTCTCTGCACTCCCGGCTCAGTGTGATTATCTGTCATTAATAATCTGAAAAAAGCAACAATGATTGCCAAATGATTGGAAGAGAACTATCTTTATTCCAATGCCAGAAAAGGGCAACCTGAAACTATGCACCAACTATAGTGCAGTAATTATATTTATCAGTTTTTAGTAGTTATTGTGTTTTCACTTGTGTGTTACATAGTTTGGATTTTCTTCAATTAGTTTGATTTTTAGTGGCTCATTTTTGTTTCCCCAGTCACTTTAGCTAGAGCCATTGAGTTGAAACATGCTGTGACCTTGATAGCGGCCCTTGCCTATGAAACTGCAGAAATGTACCAGAGAGGAGGTAAAAAGTATTTGTGAAAAGTAACATAATGTCTCTGCTTTGCTGGAGGGGGCGGGCATTTGTATCTCTCCACAATTCTTGGTTATTGGAGTTCTGAATATCCTTTGAAGTTGAAGTGCGTCTGCCTGAGAGGGGAGAAACCAACAATCTGCATACAAGTAAGCCATATCTGTACAGCAGATGTGAGCTCAAAACTCAGGTTTTAGAAGAAAAAAAAGTATAAAAGCAGGTGAACGACCAGAAAATTTTGTTGGAGTTTTCAGCCAGTCAACATTAAGAAGAATGTTCTGGGTCAGTTTTCATGAAATTTTTTCATGTTGCCATCATAGACCATTTTGTATCATCTCTGTCAGTCTGCCTCTACCTCTGCTTCATTTACTGATGGTCTTTTCAGTCATCATTGTGTGTTCTGATGCCTCTTCTTATCGCAGGCCTGAATAAAACTGTCTTCCTTGTCGTTTCTTAGTTTTTCCCTATTTTCGTTAGCAATTTTGTAAGCAGTCTCATTTACTCTTGAGTGTCCACAGTTTTTTCATTACTATCTTATAGACCTCTTCTGAGCTATCTGAACAAATCTATTTGCTATGCCATACAGCTGAAAGGTTTGGCAAACTTTTCTTACTTTTAAAAAAAAACATTATAAATTATACCTAGCAGATCAACTATTTCCTGCCAGTTTGACTATTTAATTGCTGATGGTTCAAAGACTGGAATTGAGTTGTACGTGCATTTCCCTCCACCATACCCATTAACTGACTGCCTGTAAATTTATTCTGTAGAAATTAAAACATGCTTTTTTTCCTTGTCTTTCATGGGTTGATAATAGGCTATATTTATAAATGCTGATTTAATTAAGAACTGTGCAGTCTTGATTTCTGAGCATATAATGTAACACTACTTACTGTGGTCTTAGTTCTGAATAACCCAGCAGTCTGCCAGCTAAGGTCCTTTGTGGTCAAAAATATGGATTTCAAAATCTTATTGGTGAAAACTGGTGATTTGAAGTTTTTATGTTAGGTTGGTCCAGGGTCTTTGCATTACATGCTTTCTGTTTTGCTGTATCTCTCAAAATAATTGCACCATTATTGATTACAAAAAGCACCACCTTGTGCTGTGTAATGCAAGTAGTTCAAACTCTATTCCATGCGATTTTCCTTAAAGTGGTCTGAGAGTATCCTTGGGACTCACTGTGAACACATTTTTTGCTGCTTCAGTTTCTTACAGAGCATCATTTGGACCACCCAAAGTGATGCATTGAATTCTTCTGCTAGTAGACGTAAGCTCTTCCACTTTTTCTACCAAAATTGTTGCATCAGTCTTGTTAATGGCTTCCTCTGTTGCAGCAGTATGTACCTGACCAGTCTGTAAATGTTTCCTCAGCTCACAATCTAAAAACATTCATCTGAGTCTACTCCATAACAGTTGCTTTCAGTACACATTTCTCATTTACTACCCACATTCCGTTGTGGATGCTGTCTGCTAGACACTTTGTATGTAAGGAAATGAATCAACACTTGCTGAACCATTGGATGGTTTCTGTACCACAGAAAGCAAACAGTTGCTTGCATATTCATTCATCTATTTTTACTACGAGGCTGAAACATTATTGGTACCACATACCAAGTGTAAGTCTTATTATGGATAATCTGTCTAGTACATAACAGTTAACTAATGGACGTAAATTTGCCTAGAAAAACCACACAACAGCCAGGGGCTGCTGGGGTTGGTTCTGCAATGTCCTGTAAAGAATACGCAACTAACCTAACATAACAGTGATTGTCAGTACACATTGGTCACCAAACACTACTTGCATACTATGTCACAGTCATTTCTGTTACCTTAGTAATGAATGGGATGACTCAACAAATAAGAGGTAAATAAAAAATAAATAAGAATGTTTGTGGATATTTTGAACACTAAAGTGATAGTTGTTGAATCCAGTCAGTTAGTGCCCGATATATCTGACAGTCAGCTGAAGTCCCAGCCACCAGCATTAAATAGAGCTCAGTTTGAAAAGTCACTTGTCGGCTAAAGGTGGAAAGAGGAAAGCCGTGACCATATACCACAAGAAGAGATGTCTTCTCATGGGTGTGAAGAACACTGTAAGAGGAAACAACATAGCAGCTGTGCTGCTTCTTATGGCACAGTGTGATAGAGGATAGTAGGCCAAGGGTGAGGTTTGCTTATTCTCAGTCAAGGTGCCTTCCTAAGGGTAGGGTGCCTCTTGAGTGAGCACACATAATGACCGCCATTATGGGATGTGTCATTAGCATTTAACCCTTGTTTTTATATCAGCAAAAGATTCAATACACAATAGAAGAGAGGGGCCCAAAGTCATGACCCATTTGGGTCTACCCTTCGGAGAATGTCACAAAAGTGAAAGGAACAAATCATAAGCTGAAATCTTCTGATGATTGGAAGCCTGCTATTGTGCTTGCTTCATCTCAGACTTCTTATGACATGATTACCTTAGGTTGTCACTTTCATTGAATCAAAACAAAATAAGATTGTTACCGAGTCGACATTTTACCTTCTGCAGATGATGCATTAGCCTCCCTAGATCAGAAAGATGTCGGCAAGTGGAGGAAATACTTTCAGCTGAAGAACAAATTCTACCTGGCATGTGTGAGTCTCTTTTTCATCTCCATATACCCTTAACAATAATTTTGCCATCTCCAGAATTTAAGTTAGCTGCAGTACATCCACTGTTGTCTTTGGGAATAATATACGGTGATGCCCCAATCTTTTCCCAGGCCTGACCCTCATACCACTGTCTGAAAGCCATAAGAACTTTTTTTTTTCTGAACTGTCTGCTGCAGGAATCAAACTCTGATTTATCAAGGGTTGAACTGTGAGAGTTTCATTAATCTAAAAACATACTTTTCTCTCATAATACAGGGCATCTTCAACTTACAACTGAGTTCTGTTCTGTAAAAATTGTACATAAAACACACAAATTCAGTCTAGGTACATAGTGTGACAAATACATAATATTTACATCATTACATTAGTTGTGGAAACTTTCTGACCCTACCAGTGTAGTTATCTTTTTTTATATTTTGTTTAAATTTATTTACTTTTTGTGGTCATAAGTGCAGATGGTGGTAAGATGCATAGGTCGCAAGTCACATGGGTCGTAAGTCACAGGTCGTAAGTCAAGAAGATGTAGTTTGCTTACACCATATACACCGAACATGTATGTTGTTGTTGTTATTGATCCAGCGGCCCTTTGGCCCTATGCCATGTAGTGGAATTTGCATGCTTTCACAAGCTGTTCTTTTCCTCCGTACAAGGTGTTCCACTTGTCTGGTCTCGGAGGGAGTAGCATTCTTCTAGTCTCGCTGAGTTTTGGGCACTCAAAGAGATGGTGTTCAACAGTTTCATAGGGGTAGTTACATAGCTGGCACTCTGGGAAGTGTTGTGGCTGTATTGTGTTTAGGTGTTCATTGAGTGGAGTATGTTGTGTTCTAAGTCTGAAGATGGTGGCCTGGTCCCTTCTTGTTAAACGGTTAATGCTGTCATTAGGATCAGGGCTAGCCATGTGTCTATAAACCTCTCTTCCAGTATCTCCCATGGCCCATCTGTACAGCCAAGTCTCTTTGTTTATAGCTTTTATAAGTGTTTTTGCTGTCTGTAGGGTTGTCGCTGTAGGTGGTTGTTCTTGTGAATCCTTTCTTTGCCAGTCTGTCAGCTCTGTCATTACCTGGTGTGCCGGATTGGCCTGGAATCCACTGCATCATTATTCTGATGTTGTATGAGGTAATGAGCTGATCAGCATCTAGAATTATCTTGGCTATGTCAGTTCTGCAGCGTTCACTGCCTTCCAGAGCTTGAAGAGCAGACATTGAATCGGTGAAGATGACAATATTTTGGGCCTTTGAAGGGTAAACATCCATTACAGTCTTTAGGTGGTATACTGCTGTTTCCAGTGCAATTATTTCAGCTTCATAATTTGAGCAGAATTCCCAGCATGCATCAAATATCTCTTCAATAGATGAACATGTATTTAAAAAAAAATTTAAAAGGGATCCTTACCTTAACGTGGAGGTTAAGTTTTCAAGTTGTTGTATTTTGGTTCATGCTTGGTTCCCCAACCATATACCTTTTCCTTGAGTAAGGTTTTTATTGGTGTTATGTCTTTTAATTTAGTTGAAATATTTCACTTGTTTGTGTTTTTCTTTCAACTATCCTTTTTATTCCCAGTCTTTCCAGAACACCCATATTTATTATTGTTTAAATCCATGATAGCATGTTTTGTGTACTAATGCTTCCATCCATATACCTCCATGACCCTAATGTTCAAGGGTTATGTTATATTATGTAAATCCATCAAAAATGACAATTTTCCTCTGTAACTCCAGGACCTTGTTTGACTTTTGAATTGCTAATTCATTATCTAGATTTTTGCTTCATATATTAGTTTGGAATGTAGACAGTTCTAATTTGTAATGTTATCTGGTACAGGCTCACAGTTATAATGGAGAAAGTCTGTTGAATCAAGACAAATGTGGTGAGGCAATCAGAGGATTACGAGAGAGTGTGGAATGTAAGTTCTTTACATTGTGTTTTTTTTTTTAATGTCAGTCTCTTTAACCAGCATGCAACTTATACATTGGTTGTAGATTTCTTCTACCATATGATTTGTTAGAAAATATCCCACACAGGGCCTTATTTGGGAATGCTGGCTCGTGGGTGACATAAAGGGGAAAAAATCTGTTAAATTAAAATTTGTTTCCCACTGTGAGAGTTTTTGCACTTGTGTTTCACACTTGTAACATTAAGAATTCCTGCATCCACTAAGAGGACATCACTTGATGTCAGCATTAACAAACCCTTCAAAGTTGCCATGAGAGATGAATGGAACCAATGGATACATTCTTCTGCGGAATGATTTGACATCGGCATGTAATGTGAAGTAACCAACTGTAGGAGAAGTTTGTACCTGGGTGAAAACATCCAGGAAAAGTGTGCAGACTGAGATCATTGTCAAGTCATTCAAGAAATGTGGCATTTCAAACGTCACATGTTGTAACTGAGCATGGGGCAGTATATGAAGACTGATTCATCATTGGATATAGATGGAGTCAAGCTATGGATGAGAAATTCGACAGTGGTGAAGGGTTTTCTGGATTCTATGATGAATAAAATGTAAGGTGTATGTGCTGTGAGATTAATATTTATATGCATTCTTGTGTTTGGATTTGTTATTTAATCATGAAGATGGGGAATGAGTACTTATGGGAGTGTCCTGAGTGTTGTGATGTTGCTTCTTATTCAGCATTCAACATTTATTAACGTATGTCTCTGCTATACACTTTACACTTCAGTGTATGCCAAGGCTGAGTTGCTGTGTAAGGAGTACGCCCAGGCTAAGGGAGTTGGAACAACAGCAAGGCCACAGAACCATTTATTTTTCCGTAAACTTGGGCCTATTGTGAAGCGTACCCTTGATAAATGTGAAAGGGAGAATGGTCTCATGTAAGTATTACTGTTTTTGTATGTACTACAACACTATATTTCTATATATGACTTTCCCAAACCCTTCCCCCATCCCTCCCCCCCCCCTCCCCCTCATCACCTTGATCTAGGATGTGGAAGGAGAGTTCCATCAGATAGATATACATAGGGGTGGATAAAAAAAAATACACACACACACACATATATATATATATATGGGTGTGTGTCTGTCTCTTTCTCTCTCTCTTTCTCTCTCTCTCTCTCTCTCTCTCTCTCTCTCTCTCTCTCTCTCTCTCTCTCTCTCTCTCTCTCTCTCTCTCTCTCTCTCTCTCTCTCTCTTTCTTTCTTGTATATGGAAATGTATATGGGTGAATTCATCTGTGAATTTGAGTTGATAGATGATATATATGTAGAAATAAACATGGGTGTAAGGGTAAATGGACAGATAGGTAGTGCCTTGTTAAATTAGCATCACTTTTTCTTTTAATGAAAGAATGGAACTGGTACTCTTACCCCATAATTCAGTGACCCTGCCTATGTGAAGGCCTCTCACTTTGCTGCATGTAACACTTTCTGCCATTGGATTGTCTTTTTGTGTGTAATGTACAGAATTATAGGAGACTAGTCGAAAAGAAAATGTGTTTCCTTTGCAGATTCAAAGTGCAGGAGCAGAGTAGAATCTGGATTAATGTTACTGTTAGAATGCACTAACTTCTGTAGTTTAATGAACAGATAGATTGGCTGGTTATCAAAGCCTTCTGGGATCAAGTGAACAGTGTCAAGGCACAAATAGATCATCATAGTCCTGCTGGTTATCAAAGCCTTCTGGGATCAAGTGAACAGTGTCAATGCACAAATAGATAATCACAGTCTGAAGAGAATAATGAAGCAGGGAGTGACCAGAGGATCTGGCCAAACAGCTTCTGAAGATGAGGATTGAGTGCTTATGGAAATATGCTGACTACTGTAATGTCAGTATTTAATACAAACTCAACTGAACTGTATAGTTAAATATCTTGTTTCTTTTAATGGTAACAGAATATTGTTTTAAACTGAAATAATATATAATATTTATCACTCTGTTCTTATATAATTTTGACAGCTACCATCAGAAAGTAGCCACTGATCCACCTCAGCTGGAACTAAAGGCAACCTACGGCCTGGTCAGTCCTGGGGATTACACAGCACCAGCCCTCAATCCACTGTGGTCAGTTGAAGTGTACAAGAAATTCAGTGTTGCTAACATTCCTAAACCAGGTCCAGCAACTGAGAAGGTAAGGTTCTTCAGTTATTTGCCTTTCACTTTCCCTGATTTTTTTTTTTTTTTTTTCAAGATGTGGTTGTGCTTGAGTTTCTAGAATATTAGGCAGAGGCAGACATCTATGAAGGTTTACCCAAGACATTGAAGATGCATTGGCTATAAAAGTACAAAGGCCGGAGAATGGGCTAGATAAGGTTTCAAGCATGGTGTGACGAGAGCGTTGTTCTGTAAAGAACCAAGGAGAGATGATGATGGTTATGCTGGTATAGCTGTGTTGTTTATAGATTAGTAAAAATACTTCACAATTTTGGACATACCAGCGTTAGATTTCCACAACGGGCAGTTTAGCAAAAATATTACTTGTTACTTGTTGTCCATATTGACAACCTAGCACATCAGGTTCAACACACTATTGCCCCATCCTCAGATGCAGCAGCCCTCAGTGTCTCCATGCCCAACTTACCCATTAGGAGCTAACTAGCATATCTTCTTTCTTTACCTGGCAACCAGTTTCTGCAAGCTTGTCCTCATTTGATATCTGTTTCCAAGAAGAGGTTCATCATATCTGACTTCTTCATCTCAACGTCTCTAGAATGCAGCACATAAAGTATGTATTTTCTGTCCATACATCTTTCTCCACTGACCACTGCATTTTAAATAAACCAGAATTATTATTTGAGTCAAGCTCAGTTAAGAACAGACGTCACAGAAACTCATGACATTTTTATTAATGCTTTGTTCTCATCTTCAGCAGCCAGCGAATAATTTCATTTCTGATGGTACCAGTATTTTTGATGGTCCCCATCTGATTATATGTCTGTCTTTCCTTTTCTCTGACATTATAAGTTTATCCTCTTATACCTTGCTCATACAAGTGTAAAAACAAAAAAATATCACTAATGCTCATACAAGTATACAAACAAAAATGTCAGTAAATGCTTACACAAGTGTAAAAACAATGTCAGTAAATGCTTATACAAGTGTAAAAACAATGTCAGTAAAGGCTCATACAAGTGTACAAACAAAAAATGTAAGTAAATGCTTACACAAGTGTAAAAACAATGTCAGTAAATGCTTATACAAGTGTAAAAACAATGTCAGTAAATTCTCATACAAGTGTACAAACAAAAAATGTCAGTAAATTCTCACACAAGTGTACAAACAATGTCAGTAAATTCTCATACAAGTGTACAAACAATGTCAGTAAATTCTCATACAAGTGTAAAAACAATGTCAGTAAATGCTTATACAAGTGTAAAAACAATGTCAGTAAATTCTCATACAAGTGTAAAAACAATGTCAGTAAATGCTTATACAAGTGTAAAAACATTGTCAGTAAATTCTCATACAAGTGTAAAAACAATGTCAGTAAATGCTTATACAAGTGTAAAAACAATGTCAGTAAATTCGCATACAAGTGTACAAACAATGTCAGTAAATGCTCATACAAGTGTACAAACAAACAATGTCAGTAAATGCTCATACAAGTGTAAAAACAATGTCAGTAAATTCTCATACAAGTGTAAAAACAATGTCAGTAAATTCTCATACAAGTGTAAAAACAATGTCAGTAAATGCTCATACAAGTGTACAAACAAAAAATATGTAAGTAAATGCTTACACAAGTGTAAAAACAATGTCAGTAAATGCTTATACAAGTGTAAAAACAATGTCAGTAAATTCTCATACAAGTGTAAAAACAATGTCAGTAAATGCTCAGACAAGTGTACAAACAAAAAATATGTAAGTAAATGCTTACACAAGTGTAAAAACAATGTCAGTAAATGCTTATACAAGTGTAAAAACAATGTCAGTAAATTCTCATACAAGTGTAAAAACAATGTCAGTAAATGCTTATACAAGTGTACAAACAATGTCAGTAAATGCTTACACAAGTGTAAAAACAATGTCAGTAAATTCTCATACAAGTGTAAAAACAATGTCAGTAAATGCTCATACAAGTGTACAAAAAATGTCAGTAAATGCTCATACAAGTGTACAAACAAACAATGTCAGTAAATGCTCATACAAGTGTACAAACAATGTCAGTAAATGCTCATACAAGTGTACAAACAATGTCAGTAAATTCTCATACAAGTGTAAAAACAATGTCAGTAAATGCTCATACAAGTGTACAAAAAATGTCAGTAAATGCTCATACAAGTGTAAAAACAATGTCAGTAAATGCTCATACAAGTGTACAAACAAACAATGTCAGTAAATGCTCATACAAGTGTACAAACAATGTCAGTAAATGCTCATACAAGTGTACAAACAATGTCAGTAAATGCTTATACAAGTGTAAAAACAATGTCAGTAAATGCTCATACAAGTGTAAAAACAATGTCAGTAAATGCCCATACAAGTGTACAAACAAAAAATGTCAGTAACGGTCCTGTTTTCATACCTTGAGTCATGTTAGGTAAATGGTATTGGTCCCTTATTTTTATAGACCAGTTGATACCTGATAGATATCAATATTATGCTGGCTGCCTTTGCTACCTAGAACATTACCTGATACTCAGTTTTGTTCTTTGTCAGCCTGGAAGCTATGGTCAATGTTGAAAAATCTTCCATAAAAAGAGTTTTGAACACAAAACAACAATGAAAGTGTACTAACCATCTTGCTACAGTTTGCTTGAAAAGTATCTAAAATCTCTGACTGACATTACATATAAACCTGACTGATGTCTATTGCAGCTTGTAATTATACTTGATGTATGCATCTTCTGCAACTTAGATATACATTTGACGGATATGTCTACTACTCCTTACATGTACAATTGACTTATATATCTGCTACAGATTACATATTTACTTGACGTATCTACAGATTTACATATTTAATTGATTTATTTGTCTACTACAACTTACATATAAACTTGACATATGTCTTCTAAATTTTATATATATGACAGATACAAATTACATATTTACTCTTCTGATATGTTGGCAAGAGGTTATACATTTTCAAAAATATCATTTAGAATTGATTAATGATTGTAATTTTTTTTTCTATATCCAACCAGAAAGGGACTGAGGAAAAGCCGCCAACATTGCCGTCTGTGAAAGAGAAAGAAGTTCCCATGTCTGACAAGGACCCTAAGAACAACAGTGGCTGTGTTGTGTCTTGAAGATGGACCCATATATATAAATATCTGTCCGTGCTTCTTGCATCAGAAGCTGTGAATAGTCCGAGCCTATTTTGGCAAAAATCATTTTGTTTTATGTTTGTGTGTTACCTGCCTTCATGTGTAGAAAATGTTCATTAAATGTTTTATGGTAAAGGCTGTGATAGCATACTTTTTATTTGTTCTTGTATTTCTTTACCAGTGTTGCCCTGTGAATCAGGGCTAGCTGGCAGGATCTTATGATGCGAAGGGACAAATATAGCTGTGTTTTTATAAATTAAGTAAAGGAGTCACGGACAACTTGAGACTTCATAACATCACGGCATATGAAGCGACTGAGCGCGCCCTGGCTCGGTTGCCGATCATCTGATAGACTGCGACGCCTAGCGGCACAAGCAGATTTTGACAAAAGAAGAAAGAAGAAGTAAAGTGTGCGACCCTTGTCACAATTCATTTTTTTTTTTTTTCAAATTGACCAGTCGGCACTTCACAGTGATGTAATCAATGCTTTATTTTTCTTCTTCTCCGATCTTTCTGTCAGAAAATGTATGCCAGGAGCCTGGTAGCCTTAATATGCCAGAAGAGACATCTTTACCTCTCAGGACATTTACTTTCCCTGTCAGAGGTCATGTTTATCTGGGAGTCCAGAAAGGTATCTGTCTTCATGTAGATTTGAACTTAAATCCTTCGGACTCACAAGCATTTATAACTGTACTTTAGTGATGTATATAGTCTATAGTCAAAAGCTGAAATATTTTGGTCATATCAAGTGCCACCACAGATTGGAAAAAATTAAAGCAGAAGGCATGGTACCAGGAAGGAGGGGCAGGGGCTGACCGACATGAAGATGGGCACCGGATATAAGTGACTCCTTGAGTGTGAAAGTGCATGAGGCGGGAGAACTGGTGAGAGACCGAGTTTCTTTCAGGCAGACTGTGATGAGAGTGACGTTCTGCAAAGGACCTGCTACATGATGATGGTGATATAGTCTAAAAGTCAGTGTGTATTATCTGACTTTTAGAAGATCTTCATTAAAAGTTCCAACTTATCCTAGGTTAACACCAGGTACCACATGGCAATACCATCATCATCCCGTAACACTACGTGTCATTGCATTACCAGTTTCTGTTGACCGTCTGATCAGCTCTCTCCACCTTTGACAGTCAGTTGCAATGGACTTCATGGTTGCATGCCTGAGGCCTGTCCAGTCAGTCACGTTCTGTAACCAGGTCTTTCTTGGTCTCTTTTCTCCTCCCTCCCTCTACTAAGCCCTGCAGTATTGTTTTAAGATGCAAAGGGAGAACATGCATGGCAATATAAACAGCATTAATTCAATTAAACTAGCAGATAAAAAAAATATTAGAGGACTCAACAGTTTTTTCTGTCCAAAAGAATTATTTTAACTCCACGGACCTTGAGAACTGACATTTATTAGTGTAAACCCACTGTTTCATACAAAATGAGTTAAAGTAAAACCATTCTAGAATTGAATAGTTTTTCAAATTAAAAAGAAATTATTCTCAGTTACCTGGGAATATAGACTAATGTTATCGTCTCTGTGCACATGTAAGGTTAGTAATATTTCTGTGATTTCATCTCTGCTTGATGTGGAAGGCATCACATTTGTGAGTGATAAATAAATAAACAGTAATATTTAGACCTGCTTCATTAACATGCACACATTTATGTATGTATTTACCTATGTCATTTTATGTTTGTGTGTATGTTTATATCATCATAATGTACCATGCCCACACGCAAGGTTGTCGTGATTTGAATTTTCACACAGTATCTCATGTGAGGTCCGTGTCCTCGTCTTGATTAGCCGTGTGGTCTTCTGGGTATTTATCTCTTGAGGTTTTCCCTCTGATCTGTTGCTGTCCATTCACTGTTGTCAAGTTTATGTCTCCTGGTAACGTGTTCACAGTCTTAACTGGCTAGAACAGATTTCTCTATAAATATAGTTGTCTGTATTGTAATGAACTAAATAGACTTTTATTTAGAAAAAAATTCTTTATTTAAATTTCTTTAGCTTTTCTTGTATGGTGATCCTACCATCAAGAACTTATAACCGTAACTCTGACCAGCAGGAATCTGTCAGCTACTTTCAACCTCAGTCTGTAAACTGCTAACATGGTTTCACCTTGCCATGGTGTGTAGAAGCTAAACAGCTACTTTACTTTGCTCAAGGATGTTGAATTATTATTTGACATCACAGCACTCGGAACACTCCCATTAGCGCTCCATCAGCTAGCGAAGAGTTCCAATTCTGATAGCACCATTAACTGTCTGATTTTATGTTCGTCCTTTACCCTGAGTGTTGAGCGTAGACCAGATCCTTTAGTAACTCCTCACAGCGCCTCACACCATAATGATCTATCTGTGCCTCTGGCACTGTTCACTCAGTCCAAAAGGGCCCTCACAATGTGCTAATGTAGAGAAGGAGAAATCTAGAGCTTTTACCATCAGTAAACTACTTTTTACTTTCTATCAGTGATGAGATCCTTGTTGTTCTGCTTCGGCCTTCATTGTCCTACAGTATGAATTGACCAAAGATAGTGACAATTTTAATGACATGATATTTTATGATTAGCTTGTAAAACCAGTAATGGGAATACTCACTGGCATTGACTCATAGTTCATTTTTGTGAAACGGCATTTATCATTTGTATTCAAGGGAAATTACTCCAAGCTATTATTTGTTGAAATCTTAATTTATGTTGCATCTTGATTGATTCTCCATCAGACAATATTAGGTGAATTATATTTTTTCTGTAAGTTATTTGAGTATAATTGTATTATGAGAATGAGTAAAAATAAATATTCATTGTAAATTACAATCACTCACACTTGCACTGCAAAAGCTGTGGGATAATAAATATCTAGTTCATGAACATTTGAACATTTTAAATTTACTATCCCAAAGTCACCTTAGTGCAGTTTTGATGATTTTCAGCTTCGATTGTTTTCTTAGACATTGTCACTTTAGAATACACCAAAGGCATTCATGTGAATTGCTACTCTAAATAGGTCAAAAATTAAGTATTACTGTCCCCCAGCTACACAGTTTTTATTTGCTACAGTGATTTTTCAGAGAGATCTCACTGTTTAAATGCAATTTTATTGAAACACTGATTGAGCATTCAGGTGACTTTTGCATAGTGCCAATGATATTTGAGTATCTTGATGGGACTCACAATAATAATTCTAGTATAAATGAAATGTTGTTTTCTCAATTGTATATTATTACATGTTTAACGTGTTTCTCCTTTCTAAGTCTTTTTTATCATAAAGTCTGTTGTTTTAACACTCAGAATTGTTCTTTTATTGAACATGATGTTGTTGTTGTCACTTTTCTTGTTTACAAGTATGCAAAAGATGGAAATTCCAGTCAACTGACTGACTGACTTTCTACCCCACCAGGACATCACACAAGCGATAAACACCTAATGACACAGAGGTGCCACCATGTGGGTGAGGATCACCATGGAAAGGTCCCAGAAACCGCGTTCAGCCTTTAGGTCACATTTATGGCTAGGCTATATTGCGAGCCCTGGCCAGAGTAGGGCTTCAAAAACGAAAAATGTCGTCCTAAAAAGGATGAAAATAAACATACCATTACAGACAAGATTTATGAAACGGGGAGTGTTGGTACAAATCTGTTGGAATGAGCAGACAGGAATTAAACATACAAGAAGAATGAGCAATTGCTGGAAATGAAGGAACATTAGTAACGTACAGCAACTTTTAGAAGTAGAATTGGTAACACGTAGCTGATTATAGAATTTGAAACCTTCTATACATTAATTGTTGGAGATAAACATTTTAAAAAGAGAAAGACCTTTAATGGAACAGTTGCTAGAAATGAATGAAAGTTGAGTGTTAAGCAGTTTTTAGAAATAAAGACAATGATATGTAGCAGATTATAAAAGTATACACTTTCTATTCAGCAGTTATAAAAGATTTGCAAATCTAAAAATATATGTTTTTAGAAATGTAGTCCATAGCTGTTACTTTCATGATATATTTTAGAACATGACAAACAAGGTAGGGTGGCCATTTCCTTTCTTCATCACTTTACCTTTCTAGCCAACGTAATTCCCAAAAATATGTCAGGTACCCATTTTTGTGAGTCTTTTACAGAAAGACCATATCTCTGTTGACATTTTTAAAATGACAGAAACAAAAAACAAATTTTCACTTTCTAATTCCTCCTCTTCTTCTTTTTCTTCTTCTTCTTCCTTGTGGTCACCCGCTGTAAACTCTGGCAGAAAGTTTTGGTTTTTAATCCACTTCTGGGCTTCGGTTTTATTCCAGAACTTGAGTTTTTGTGAGCACATTCACTTCACAAATCTGGTTTATTTGTACACAGACAGTTGGCTCTTCATCTCTCAGGCAGGTGAACTCTGACTTTGAAAGAAACATCGTTAATTAGTCGCTTTATACTTCAAGAGCAACCTAGCCGAAGTGAACAACAACTTGTTCAATGCATTGGAATGATCCTTACATCTCCTCGCAACACCACGCTGAGGTCAATGGTGAAAGAGAAGAAGAGGATACTACATGCTTGGTAGAGGGGTAGTGGGTGTATTCTCTTTTCCTCACAACAAGGACTCCAGAACCCACACATGGTTTTTTCGAATTACTCATTTATTTGCAGGTTTCATTTGAGGAACTGCCTTATTGTTTTTTTTCTGTCTGTCCATTGTAGTCTATTTTCATAGCAATTATTAGAGATAACTGAATAGTTATTGTTGCATCCACAGGGAGGAGTCATAGTTGAATGATTAGAACTATGAGCTGTCATTTGGTCCTGTTCCTGTGGTTACTTCAACCCTTTGTGTCACAAAGTGTTTTTGTTTGAATTATTTCAGATGGAAATGATTATCAGTTAACTCACTGACTACCATGATCTGCACGTTATGCAATCAGGCAGTGTTACGCCTGTCTACTTTGATCGCACCACTTGGGATCATAACTCTGGATGCTCGCCGCCATGATAA